TTTCAAGCAATAACAATAAAATGAATCATAATTTCAAACTGCAAATTACAGCATAAAACCCGGGCACACTAAAACAAGTACCTGATCATGGCGAGCATTATCATCTCTATCCACCACAATCGACGAAGCCGCTGACCGGACAGTGGAAGCAACGGTTGAAGCACCGGACGAAACGATCCTCAGATAACTCGAAATCGCCCGGAACGAGCTCGGGATGATCCCATTGGGCCGGGCCGATGAAGAAGCAGCAGCTGCCACTCCTCCACGAGCTTTTTTCCCTTCATTCCTCATCAACCAGCCCTCTCAGTAAAAGAGGAAACAGAGCAACGCCCACCAGTAATATGATAATAAATTGGAGATGATTTCTTCCAGATTAATCTTTCTTAATAAAAAATTCATGGTTTTCCCCAATTTTTGAAGCCCAGAAAAATTCACAAATTCCCCATTTTTTAATTTTTTTTAGAAAACCCAGCAATTTTTCAAAAATTAACCAAACCCTAATCAATCAAACCAAGCAAAATTTTCATAAAAACACTGAATTTGATGGATTGAAAAAGAAGTTATTATTTGACAAAAAAACAAAGAAATGAAGAGATTTTTCGAAGTAATATGAACAAATTTACAATATTTACGATTGAAAAAAAAAGAGACAAATCAATCAATTAAAACCTCTAAACAAAACTGAAAATTAAGAAAAATGAAGTAGTTTACAATCGAATCATACTAAAAAAAAAGTTCGATCATAATTTAAGAAGAAAAGATAGATTAGGGTTCTTTGCCCCTTTGTTTGGAGAAGATGAGTTTCCGTACTGAGGAAGGTTCCAGAGAGAGAAAGTGAAAGTTGAATTAGTTTTAATTTTGTGTGTGATGATCGGATAATAATGCAAAGAAAGAGGAAATTTAGGGAAAGTGGGGGAAATTAATTAGAGATGAGAAATTAAAAGAAGGAAGTTTTTTTTTATTTGAGGATTTTTTTGAATTATAAGAGACTCAATGTTTACCGTTTACGTCTCTTGCTATACCTCATTACCACTAATCAAGTAAATCAATGAATAGGGGGAATATAAAATATGGTGTGTGGAGGGAGGAAAACTTGCCCGCACGTCTCTTGGTCTCCACGTTCAACACGGCAAACGCCTCGGCTCTTCCTCAACTTCCACCGTCATCGTCGATATTGTGGAAGAAAATTAGGAACGGCATGAATTCGACTAAATTGGTTATTTATTATTTATAAAACAATGAGCATGTTTAAACATTAATATCTTCAACAATATCGAAGTATATAATATCAATGATATTATGAAAAGTTGAAATTTTTAAAAAGTGATATTGATACAAATCTAATAAGATCTTTACATACGGAGTATTAATTTTGTTTAACTAAATACAATCAATGTTATTTCACATTAAGCAAATTAAGAGTAGGTGGGTCATATTTTTAGAAACCGGGATAATATGAAATTAGCAAATTTTGGTCAAGGTTTCCAACTTGATTAAGTAAAGCAAGTTGTCCATATTAATTAACAAGTTGAGTGGCATGCATCATGGTCCTTATGAGCAAAAAAATAACTTGGAGTAAAACACTCCATAATAAACATATAGCTCAAAGACTATGAACATAATCTATAATTGTTATGCTTATATTATCATTTTTGAACAATATTTATATATACATGTTTTAACTACAAATTTAAAAATTAAAAGTAAACAAGAGTTCGAAAAATCTTTTCTCAAAAATATGAGGATAACCGATCCGATAAAAGTTAAAATGGCCATTTCTGCTATAAAATAAAGGGCATTTTAATTAGTAAAGAAGTCCTCCTTCCTTCATCTCCTTCTTCCTACTGCTACAATCCACCCACCTTCATCATCATCTTCTTCTTACTCCTCGTTCCTCCATCATCTTCGTCCACCGTCATCTTCTTCCTCGTTCATCTTCTTCATATACTTCTTCCTTCAATCCCCACTCACCATCTTCTCCTTCTTCAATTGAGATTTTACAAACAACGACACTAACACCATCATTTCTCAGCGTGTGAAGTGATCGAATTGAACGAAAACTCTACGAAAAAAAGGATTTAGAAAAAAGCTAAGATTAACGCCAACAAGTAAGTGAGCTTTTCATCCTTCGTTGATTTCTCCACTGAAGTTAAGATTTGCCTTCTTGTATTGCTTGTGAACTTCCTCCATGACTCCATTAATAGTGAAGCAAGAAAATCAGGGTTCATCCATGTATACAGTGAGAAATTTGCTTGTTTTTTTGATGTGACACAACTATCAAAGTAACTTATTTATCCAATTGTCACTAGATTGTAGGTAATAAACTTGTATTTCCTCGAAAAGTATAACCTAACTTGACCGCTTGAGCAACAAATGTAGGTACATATAGTTGCCCAAGTAACTCTAATAATTTACCACCTAGAGTGATGAGGACGGAGATGGAGGGATGAGGAATGAAGAACGAGGAGATGGTGGGATGGTTAATCCTTCCATGTTTCCCCAAATGATGGGGTTCGATTCCTCACAGCCCGCCCCCTTCCTATGATAGGGTGGGGGTGCCTTCCCCGTAGTTTACTGTTAAAAAGAAATAATAAAATAAAAAAAGGGTAGATGATGGTATGTTTCTAAACAATATCAAATTCCAAGTTAGTTCAATTTTTTTTTTTTGACGTATAGTTCAAGTCTTTATGAACACAATCTTGGACAAAATTACAAAAATTAGATGTCGATTAAGATTTAAACTTCCAACCTTTTGTTTAAAAGGTATTATGATAAGATAACATATTGCTTAAATATTATACTATCTTTATTCCTAAAAGTTCTTCCCATTTTCTTTCAAAAAAAAAAAAAAAGTTCTTTCCCATTTTTATTGTGCCATATGCTAATGCATTACTTTGACTATAAATACCTTTAGTTGAATATTAAAAAATATTATCACATTGAATATTAATAAGATGGTTATTGAGACGAATCTAATAAAACCCAACGTGATGACTATGCTATGTACTTATGTTTTATACTAGTATACCGAGAGTCATTTAGAAAATTCTTTCATTTTATTAATAGTATTGTAACTGTGTAAATATTCCAAATGGAAACATAAATAACATAAATATTGTTATCTCTCTTGTTTGTCCTTCATGAAAGCTAATAAGAAATTACTATATATCCCTTACCATGTGGACGTAGGTTTAATTTGACCGAACCTGCGAACCACGTACATCTATGTGTTCATCTCATCTTTTTTCTACTTTATTTCTCAAAATTTACGTTTTTTTTATACTCTGGTTTTTTTTTAGGGAGCAAACTTATTTATAAAATAGCCAAAGTATCCACAATTACATACGGTGTAATATTAAGAGGTAGCTCAACATTAAAAGGAATAAAACAAGCAAGGTTATGCGCTACTTCATTTCCTTCTTGTCTCATGTGGCTCCATTGTAAGCTGCTGTAATGATAGCCCTGTGCTATAGCATCACACATAACATAATCCAGATCAGTGAGGTGTTTTGCACCTTTGAAATCCTGTTCACAGCAACTTAGTTTCAATTATGACATTACCGCATCCAAAATTCCAAACCTATGACCCATTCTGATTGCCAATTTTATTGCCTTAGCCTCTGCGACTTCAAGCTGCCACCACATTACCTTATACTGTTATCTATGTTTCGCGCATATCAAACACATTATCTAGATCAATCGATCCTCATCTAATTCCTAACATAAAGGGAGTACAAAAGTTTGCATTGGTTTAATAAATTAATACATTATACCACCTTTGAAAGTTAGGCTAGCTAGAAAGGAATCCAAACTATCCCTTTCGTCTAGCCTGGGTAAAATATTACAGCCAACACAAGCTATCCGTATGGTCCACACATAGCAAATTGGCAAGTAGTTGTGGAAAGATGTATGTTATTAACTACAACTAATTTCCTCAAATTAATTAAATACAGATCATAGTACTCCATTACAATTATTTTCATAATTTGCCCTACACTATCAATTATCATCGGCAACCAAAATTGTTGTTACACTTGTTAACTTATTATCATGAGCCATTGGGCAACGCAATTTAACTAATTCTAGATTGGATTTCATGCATGCATGGCATGGACTCTCAATTGACTAGTATGAATTCATATTTCATAACTTATTTCCTGTGTTCGTAATTCTAATTTGGTCTTCATTCATGGATATCATGGCCTATCAATTGGCTACATGGCTAGTACCGATCTTATCAAAGTCAAGCAACTTGTACGAAATGCACTCAAAACATAGTTTGTTGCATACTTGAACAATTTACACATTATCATTTAGTTGAAGATAATAAACATATGAAAGGACATATCATTATTATTATTATTATTATATAGTATTTATTTTAAATATCCATGAATTAACTCGATCTAACTTCAACTTTGGAAGTGACTTGAGGATCCCCTTAAAGCATCAACAACGATAAGCTACAAAAGTTGTAGCTTTGTTTGTCAACCCAAACTTCTAAGCTACAACTATTCTATTCTCTAACTAGTAAGCTACAAAATTATTCACTCTATAGTTTTGATGGAAAAGATGGACAAATGTAACAAAAAATAATAATATAAACAACCGATGCTATTAAGTCGGGTGAGAGGACACAAAAATTAGTCAATTTGTTTAGATTTTTGGAGTATTCATCTCCTGCATGCATCGTTTAGAATATGTTTTATTCATCTGATTTTCACTAATCTAAACTAATCTTTTCTTATTAGAAATTACCTAAACGTGTGTGAACTTATTAGACCTTATTAAAACTTATTTTAGTTGTAAATTGTGCTTAGATAATCCTAATTTAATCATAATTTGTTTTTCCTGATTGAACTTAATTAAACTTATCATACCTAAAATATATGAAAATTTAAGAATATAACAGGCTCATTAATCTGTATTGCAAACAGGTTGTTTTATGCAACCGTTCTACTGACTTTAACCGTGCATGCATGTTGTTGTTAGAATTTAAAAAAGAAGAGTCCGACAAAACTTCTCACAACACTCCGACACTTAAGAAAGCCAACGTCGCTAGTTTTCTCTAAACCCCGTACCTCTCTGACATTTCCCCCCTTAACCAAGATCCAATACCCTCTCTCCTCCCACACGTATACACGTGCCACGCACTTTCTCTTAAATCTCTCCACACGTGCCACCACCCTCACTTTTTCCATTTTCTCTCTCCTTCCTTTTCCTCACCCGCACTTTATGTGTGCTGCAATAACCCAATAACTCTCCTCTCCATGCACACAACACAATCACAAATACCACCGTTATTCCTCCTTTAAAACCGCTTCTGGTATTCCGGTCTCCGTTTTCGATTTTCCGGCATCGATAAACCTCTTATCAGCTTGAAAACAGCTTCTGGAGCTTTCTAGAGAGTTGAAAATGGAGTCGATTCTTGCCAGAGCGTTGGAATACACGCTTAAATATTGGTTGAAATCTTTTACTAGAGATCAGTTCAAGCTTCAAGGCCGCACTGTTCAGCTTTCCAATTTAGGTTCACATTTTTGTTATTTTTCTGTTGATTTATTTATTTTAAGCAAATGAATCGAATTTTGGTTTTGTGATTAGTTGAATTATGCTGTAGCATGATTTACGAGGTAGAATTGCGATTTATTTTGAGATGTTTTTGGATTTTATTGCGTGATTTCGATTAAATTTGTGGAGTTTTTGGATTTGAATTTTGATGATTATTCCTAAAAATGTAGATATTGATGGAGATGCGCTACATTCGAGCCTCGGATTGCCGCCGGCGATTACTGTTACTACAGCCAAATTAGGGAAATTGGAAATCGTGGTACGTAATTCGTTCTCGGTTTTTGTTTGGTTGAATTGTTGATTAGATGGACATTTTGATAGGGAGGTAGTAATCTTATGCTTCATATATATGTAAATGTGTAATAGTTGTTGATTGGATGGACATTTTGATGGGAATGTAGTTATAGTAGTGGTTGATGTAGACAATAGTAAGGTTGTGTGATAATTTAGTGGAGATTTCCTTCAAATTATAATGATTAAGACTTGAGATTTCGTTGTTTTGAGTGTAGCTACCGTCGGTAAGCAATGTGCAAGTAGAGCCAATTGTTGTGCAAATAGATAGACTTGACTTGGTTCTTGAAGAGAATGCGGATGCTGATACGAGTCAGAGTTCCGGCAGGTATGGTCATTGTTTATCGATTCGAATTGAAAGGAGTCTGATTTTGTTATGGACTATGTATTTAGGTTGTTTTTGTAAAATTTCTGGGAGTATGATTTGGGAAGTGTTTTTGCAGTTCTCAATCTGCTAGTAGTACAGGAAGAGGGAGTGGTTATGGATTCGCTGATAAGGTAAACTTGTTTTTTTTTTTTTTTTTCTTTTCTGTTTCGGCCTTGCTATTATCATTTCAAAAGAATATTTTGCAAAAAATTAGTTCAAATTAGGGCTATAGAGTTAACATGACAACTTTAAATATATTTAAATAAATTTAGGTAAATTCAATCAAGTTCAAACGAGGTTTTACTGGTAAAAAGATGTAGTATAACGTGTGTTGTGGAGATAAGATAAAACCATAGTTTGTTTTATCTTATGTTGGATATGAACATAGCTTAGACTCTTGGAGCCCTTATATGTGAGTTTTGTTATTGTTGCTTTTCTCTTGATTCTAATTGTTAGGTTTTTGACTTTTGTCCCATCCTGTTACATGTTATTGAGAGAGCATTCTAAGCTTAAGCTATTATTTGAGTTTTTTTTTTTGGTTGGAGGCCAGTTGCTTCGAGGCATCTTTGATTAATACAAAGAATCATTTGTTCTTCATTCCGTGTTATGGCAACCCAACTGGCCTTAGCATAAGTTTGATTACTGTGTATAGTAAGCCCATATATTCTGCAAATCTGCATTCATCAATTAAATCTAGCTACTTTGATGTAAAAGCGTTAAGTTAAAGTTAGCCATGCTTTTAGTATTGGAACATATTATAGTGACCCATTTTTTTAAAAAAATGGTGGAACTATAAGTGATGGTATCCCGTACAGTATTCAGACTTCCATATTTAGATTGACAAGATTGTTATATTGTTTATATAATTTAGTCCCTACTATTTACATTAATGGACAGGGATACTTCCATCTGGCAATTTTTCCTTTTTTACTTCCATTGAATTTTAGTGCTTGTTTTAGTTGGTGAACTTAGCTGCAGGCCTTCAGGCTGCAGCCAAGGAAATTAAAGTACTACTTTGGTGAGCTTAATAACTTAAGAAACATATGAAACTAGAAAGACACCCTCATCGCCTAATCCACTGTCACCTGTCATTACACTTTCCAAGAAAATATAGGGGATCAACGGGAATACAGAGTGATGGAATGTCCTGATAAAAATGACTCCGTAGCTTTTATTATTTATTCCTAATATCAAATAAGTGCCCAAGGTAAAATAATAGTTAGGGTTGTCATTGTCCTTTGGGCTCAGGATCTTTCCTTCCTAATGTTTTTCAATTACCCTTTCTTTTCTCTCTAAGGCCTAGTGATGGTTGTCTGAGAAGGGATTGAAATGGGTTAACAGGAAAATTTGTATCCCAAATTTTATATATTCTTGTCTCTGCATTTAATGGTTCTTTTCCACTGTTCCTTCAACTTTCTCTATAATCATGCTTTTTTGTGCATGCTTCTGGTGGACCAAGCTTTCTGTGTCATTAACTCATTCTTTAAGGGGCAATTTCTACATTGAGTCATTGTGGCATAGTGAATTTATTGACTATGATCCCTTGTTGCCAAAACGGTAAAGGGAAAATAATAAACTAAAAGAGACAAATTGTAAGCGGTTTATTAATGATGCTTTAGCTACCCGCGTAGAGTAGAGGAAGTTTTATTGATCTTGAGGATAAGCTGATTACAAAATACGCCAAGTTAAGATTTAGGGAGTTTATATATTACTTTTGAAACTGAAAATAAAAGGCCCTTAAAATAAGCCTAAACAGAAAACATATTCCATAATAACGATAGACTGAGTTAAGGCATATTCCAACACCTATTAGCCATACCAACAAGCACAATGCTGTTTATATCGTATCTGACTATCTTTGCTGCATCAGATTGCAGATGGGATGACAATAGAAGTACAGACTGTAAATCTTCTACTTGAAACTCGAGGAGGTGGTCGTTGCCAAGGTGGAGCAACATGGTAACGTCAACCTTTTGACTAGTACAATCATCAATTACTTTTCTTTAGTATAATTGGATATTAAAGATCAAGCTGCATTAAACTTTTACATTCTAGCTGATTGCTGTATATTGTTGTCATTGTCATTATTATGTTTTGTAGGACACCTCCTATGGCATCTATTACTATGCGTAACCTTGTACTTTACACCACCAATGAAAACTGGGAGGTTTGTATACTAGTAATGGTTTCCTCTGTCGATTTTCTTACCTAAAGCAAATATTCAAACATACGTTATTTTCTGGCAGGTTGTAAATCTTAAAGAAGCAAGGGATTTCTCGAGCAACAAGGATTACATCTATGTTTTCAAAGTAACTGTGTTGCTGTTTTTATCTTTAGGTTTAGGACTTCTTGTTATATTCATTATAATAGTCCTGAATTGTCTTTTTAGTGGTAACTATCAAAGTGTCCTTGTTTTATTATAATTCATCAATCACCTGTCCTTGAATGTATAAATACTTCCTCTTTTCCAAACTAGCTGACGTGTATTCCTTTTTGGGAAGTTTCTTTTTAGTTGGCGCGTTTCTATTTTATTAGGAAATTTTTATATGTTAAAATGTCAATTTTACCCTTATTAATTTCTCTAACTCATCTTCTCTCTCATACCTTTACCATAAGAGGCCCTCTGAATTTTCACTCTTACATTATCATCTTCCCCACTCCATTGCCACCACCACCACTTCATTTCTCTCCTCTCTTTCTGGTACACACCCAATTTTCTGGCGAAGCACTTTACCTGAACATCTCCTCCACCCACTACTTCCAAGCTCTCACAGTCTCACCTTTGGCTGTTTAACTGGTTGACAACAAGAGCTCTGCCATTGTTGCAGTGGTCAAATCTGAGAACGGAGGAAAACTTGGAAGGAAATGAAGTGATAAACCTTAGTTTTAATAGCCAACACCCCTTTCTCTTCATTGAGCGAAATGGGACATGCTTTCCACAACATTTGAACCTGGAGACACTAAAACTTCTAATATCCAGAATTTTGTAGCCAACCGCGCTGGTGTTAGGTGGTTTTAGGTAGATTAGTTGGTGTCTTCTTAGATGGTTGTGGCTGGGAGACTTAAGTAAGGAAGGAAGATGAGAGAAGATTAGTGGTGAGAAGGTGGATGGCAGTGTCTGATGAGTAAATGGAGGTGGTAATGCAGTCCCTGCAGTGGGCTCAAGAGGCTGCTTGTTTATTGTCAACTGGGCGTGCACCATGTCAAGGTAGGTCCTTAGGTGGGTTAGGTTGGATAAGGGGTAGGGATTGGTAAGGGCATTTATTTTTCTTTCTCCCTTTTCCTTAATATTTGTGCCAAAATTAAATGTGTCAACTAATTTGGAATGGAGGAAGTATCAATATGTCATGCATGATTTTATCTCAATATCTCTTTACTTTTCTGCCAGAAACTTGAATGGGGATCGCTGTCCATCGATCTTCTTCCTCATCCTGACATGTTTATGGATGGCCGTGTTCAAGAGGGGGCAAATAAGAGAGACGATGATGGAGCTAAACGTTTATTCTTTGGCGGCGAGCGCTTTCTCGAGGGGATATCGGGACAGGCTTATGTATGGTTTCATCTTTCATTTGACTTGGCATGTATCTGCAAATGGTGTTTCTACAATGTTAATTCATCATTTACTTTGTTTTCCCATCAGATAACAGTACAGAGGACACAGCTTAACGACCCTTTGGGGCTTGAGGCCAGGTTGCATATAACTGAAGCTGTTTGTCCTGCTTTGAGTGAACCAGGTTAGGGATACACATACACAGATGTTATTCCATCCTGACATGTTCTCTGTAGTTACCTACTGTTCTGTTTACCAGGACTCCGAGCTCTTCTTCGCTTCTTAACAGGACTGTATGTCTGCCTTAATAGAGGAGATGTGGATCCGAGGGCACAACAGGTTATGCCTGACCTCTTGTTTTAGATATAATTTATTGGTGTCTAGCTGATTTTAAGGCTATTTGGTGTATCTTCAGCGATCTACAGAAGCAGCTGGCCGTTCATTAGTCTCGATTGTTGTTGACCATGTTTTTCTCTGCGTTAGAGACACGGGTCAGTCTCATTCAGAATTTTCTAACCTTTTTCTTTCCCTTTATTTTCTACTTTCAATGCTGGTGTAACTGTAGAATAATGGTTGTGGTGTTTTAGTAATACAAAACCTTGATCCCCCCCTGTTTGATCTTATCTGCATTTGCTGACTATATAGTTTTCTTGCAGAATTCAGGCTTGAACTTCTGATGCAGTCTCTCTGCTTTTCTCGGGTATGGTCTTGTCTTACTCTGTAGTCTGTATCCTTGTGGAATTCTGTATTTAGTCTAATGGCTCAAATCTTCAATTCTTGCAAAATATATTCAAGTGATTGCAAGTTTCAGATCTCCAAATTGTTTTGCTTTTTTCCTTTTTCTTTTTCTTTTTGTGTGACTTTCTGTATATTATGTGGTTTGTATTGTTTCCATAAAAAGATTATACTTGTGCCAAATAAAGAAATTTTTGAATGGGAAGCAAATAAAGATTGTGCAACTGAAGTCATATCGATTATTTCCATATATAACAAGCCTGCTCCCTCCCTTGTTTGGCTAAATGATTTAATATCTGATTTCTTTATAGAGTGACAACAAATTTTGTTGGCTTTACCCATATTTGATTCAAAGTTTGTCATCCGGAAATCCTATACCTATAGGGATTAATGCTTTTTAATGCACATGCGAATTCAGAAGGGGACATCAAAGTTGCATATGTTTAGTACTGGTATACCTAGCCCACCTCTGCTCTATGGGAATTCCTGACTTTCTTATATATGTTTGTCTTCAATTGTGGATCTACCGGGATTAGGGAGTAAGGGACTATTAGTTTATGTGAGTTGGGTAAGTTGGTTGTGAACAGAATTTGTGACCTTTTTGTTGAAGCTAGTTCTGGTGAAAAAGGGAGAAGCCAACTACCATGTGAAACTACTTTTGATTTGCAGTAGCATTGTTGTGATATTTGAATACACTGAGTCTTGGATACGTCGCGCTTCGTTTAATATTGCACATTGATTAGACATTTCTAAATTGGGCTTCTAAATCATAGGATTGGGGATTTGAACATATTTATAATTTTATATCAAACATCTCATAACCATAGTAAAAAACCTGGAAGACTTGGTAAACACTTCCTATGTTCTTTTATTACTACAACTATGAAACTTTTGCACTTTTTACACACTCTCCTTGACAGTTTGACAATTAACTATGATTTATATGCAAGGAAAATAGTCATGTGGGATATTTTTAGATTCTTCTTGATCTGTATTTTTCCGAATATCAATTAAAAATATTCATAGATAATTAAAGATATTTAAGGTTAAATTCATGCTTTGGAGGAAGTATTTTTAAGGTTAAAGTCATGTGGGATATTTAAGGTTAAATTCATGTTGCACTAATAAAGAAATGGAGGAAGTATATACTTCAGCTTAGTCTGTTAATGATCAACTTTGTAAAAAAATTCTCTATCTAAATTTCTGCAAATTCTATTCTGTTTGTCTCCCGCTTCATCACTTAGTCAGTTGGATTTTCTTCTATACTTTGCTTCTTTCTCTGCCACGTTTTTTGACGCCTTGCATATATTTCCCGCCATTCAAGCGTCTTCTCCATTTTATACCCTCACAGGTTGGAATAATGACATTAGAAACAGACTTACAGCTTGAATGGATTCTTGCACTCTGTTTGTAGTAGTTCTAAATCAAGAGTAGCTTAGTATAATAAGTCCGTAGTAGATTTTTGTTCTAATTAATCCCCGTTTACTGGCCTGTTTATTTTACATTGCAAATTGTATCCTGAAAATATTTGGTATACTTTCTTGTGGCTTCAGCTAATTTTGTTCCTATTTATGTCAGGCAAGTATATCTGATGGAGAAAAAGCCAAAAACTTGACACAAGTTATGATTGGTGGACTTTTTCTGAGGTGAACTTTATATCTAACCTATCATTAGTCTACCTTCCTCTGTCATCCTTGGTTTTGCATAATCTTCTTATGTTTGTATCTGGACTTAAGCATCACACAATAACTCGTAGAAGTCTCTGATTTTTTTTTTTTTTTTTTGGATTTCAGGTTGGTTTAATAATAGCTTGGGTGCCTGTTGCCTAATCCATTCATTGCCTACGTTTGTTTTTTTTTTTTTTTTTTTTTGTGCTAAGCTAACTTCATGTGAATTATCTCCCGTTTATTAATTAGCGGGAATCAAGCTGCAGTAGCATATCAAATCAATTTTAGCTAAAATTTCTAGTTTTGCACCTTTCTGATTGCCTTGACTATTTCATTAGGCTTCCAAGTCTTTTGAACTTGATAAAATAAAATTACTAGGGCTAGGTATGTGAGGGTGTGTGGTGTAGCGTAGGGCATAGGGAGGGACAATTATTTAATTCTCGCGGGGGGGGGGGGGAGGGAGGGTGTTTGGAACTGAGAAATGGGCCTGGGGCAGTCCCCCTGTTATGTACTCTTTTGAGTTTGCTATTTCTCATTCTCTTTT